TTCGTCTCATTATTTTATGCATAAAAGTATTAAGGTAAGATTCCCAAAAATTGAATGTTTTACAAGATATTTTGTATTTTATGTCAAAATACTGTAATTTACAAGCCTCATAACTCGAAAAGTACTTAATAAAAAATAACTTCATTATAGTGTTTTGAAAAGCTCTTGACACCAGCTATTGGATTTTGGAATCAAAAATAGGGGTTTCCATTTAAAAAAATTACTCTGACCTTTAAATAACCTTGAAAATTGACTTCAAGGTCAAAGTCACTAGCACAAATAGGTGACCCCCATTGTCCTGAACAACTTTTGTCTGAACTATTTTTCTGTATTTGGCTTACTTACGGAGTTATTTGCGTGGATGGATTAAAATGGCCCACCCTGTATTCTGCGAGTTGATTATGGATCTTTTTCTTCTTAATTTCGTTAAAAATAATAACAAATTCAAGATTTTCATCAATGATATTTTACATATTCTCCATATTTACAATTAAAGTATGTTAATCATTTATTGATCAAACATTACAAAAATGATAAATTTTTATGTTCGACATATTTTTATTATTGTGGAATTTAATAGACTATTTTAATTGTTCAATTATTAAGCACATATAGTTATAATAAATATTTTATACTCTAAATTAAATAAAAAGAGCCTCATCAATAAGCCCTAATTAGTTTTTAATAACGTGTATGTAAAATATGTATATAATACAGCTACAGACGTTCCGGCTTAATACATTCAGCCATCCTCAGTGTAACCTTTTCAAAAACAATAATATAATTTTTACAAGGACTAATTGAAATGATACGTTTTAAAACACTGTGTACTTTCTAATATTTTAACACGTCCTTGTAAAAATTATTTTATTGTTTTTGAAAAAGTTACACTGAGAATGGCTGAATGTATTAAGCCGGAACGCCTGTAGCTGTATTAAATACATATTTTAAATACACGTTATTAAAAACTAACGAGGACTTATTAAGGATTTTTTATTTAATTTATTTATAATTTATTTAGCCCAATTTAAGTTTCTTAGATTTTATACTTTATTTAAAAAAATCAAATGTGTTCAGTATTCAACAGTTTTAATGAATATTTTATACAAATTTTATGTAATCTGCAATTTATTTTTATCAGTGAAATTGCGAATAGTTTTGTATGTTATCTTGTATTTTAATTCTAGTTTATTTTCTTTTACAGACTGTGTCTGTGGCTTACAACAGTTTTATATTACTGCGTAACATTTTTGGAAATTTATTGTGACACGTATACATTATTTGGTAAGTCTGCGAACTACTTTTGCATACATGTATTTCATTTGGATTCTAATTTTTTGTTGCTTTTTTGTGTTCAAATTTGATGTGGAATATGGATTAATTTTTAGAAGTCTATTGATCATATTCATATTTAAGTGCTCAATAAGGACTGATATGAATATGATCAACCGACTTCTAAAAATTAATCCATATTCCACATCTATATTGACACATCCTATTTTGTCGCTCGATGTTCTAAAAAATGCTGTTTCTCTGATTGCAGGATTTATTATACCAGTTTATTTCAACAGTATAGATCACATTTATTTATAATTGTACTTTTCGAAATCGCGTGAGATTTAGACGCACCCTCTTTTATGTAAATCGAGATGTGCATTCAAGAATAAAAGAAAGCCCATCCTTGCAGGCAGCAAGTCCCGCGTGCACTCGTGATCTGACAATATTTAGTTAAGACAACTGTCGCGTGATTGTTTGTGAAACGTTTCGTCGTGATCATGGAAACTTGGATATTACTGTCTATCTTAGCTGGCACCATCGCTGTATACTACTGTTTCTTGAAAGATTTAAACTTTTTTAAGAAACATGGAATTCTTCATATATCACCGTGGCCTGTTTTGGGTAATATGGGACCAGTTTTTCTACGCCAATTGTCAATGGTCGAACTGGTAAAAAAAATTTATAACCTAAATCAAGACGCCAAATATGTTGGTTTCTTCGATAGCACGAATCCAGTAGTGATGATTCGCGATCTCGATATCATCAAGTCCATCAGCGTGAGAAATTTTGAGATGTTTTCCGATCATCGCAACTTTATAACTGAAGACAGTGAACCATTAATTGCCAAAAGTCTTTTTTTACTTCGCGGTGAAAAATGGCTTAACATGAGAACATTATTAAGTCCAGCTTTTACACCTAATAAAATGAAAGTTATGTTCAAGTTGATGTCAGATAGTGGCGCCAATTTTGCTGACTTTCTTGTTAATTTGCCTTCAGATAAAAGTGTTGTTGATATGAAAAACTGTTTTACGAGATATACGAATGACGTAATCGCGACTTGCGCATTCGGAATTAGTGTTGATTCGATGAGAAATCCGGACAACGAATTTTACGTTTTCGGCAAAAAGGCAATGTCTTTCGAAACTTTTCGCGCGATAAAATTTTATATTATAAGAAGTATGCCTTTAGTAAGTAAATTATTAAAAATTAAATTGATCAATGACCGTATAGGCCGATTTTTCAAAAATATTATAAAAAACACAATACAGACCAGAATTGAACAGAATATCGTACGACCGGACATGCTGCAATTGATGATGGAGAGCAGAGGAAAAAGACCCGGAAATGAACTAACAATTGAAGACATGATCTCGCAGGCGTTTAGCTTCTTCTTTGGTGGTTTCGACACTGTTTCTACTTCGATGTGCTTTGCTGCCCACGAAATCGCTGTCAATCCAAATATTCAAGCAAAACTGCGCGAAGAGGTCGATCAGGTTCTCCAGACGATGAATGGAAATTTGACTTACGAAGCGGTGAATAGAATGCAGTATTTGGATGCTGTTATCAACGAGACTCTTAGATTATGGCCTGTGACTGCATTATTCGATAGAATATGCACGCAAGATTTCGAGTTACCTCCAGCGCTTCCTGGAGACAAACCTTTCGTTATTAAAAAAGGAATGAGTGTTTGGTTTCCTGTTTGCGGTCTTCATCGAGATCCAAAGTACTTCGAGAGACCAAACGAGTTTGATCCCGATCGCTTTCTGGATCAGAATAAGAAAAATATGAATATGGCTGCTTATATTCCGTTTGGAATCGGTCCAAGAAAGTGTATAGGCTACAGATTTGCATTGTTAGAAATTAAAGTCATGGTATTTCATTTATTAGCTCGTTGCGAACTGAAACCATGCGCGAAAACAAATCAACCAATACGATTGTGTAAGACAAGTTTTGATATGCAGCCGGAAGGGGGATTCTGGTTAAAGATTGAAAAAAGAAGTAATGCTTATATTAAATATTGAAAGGTATACCTTTTATTATAATAAGACTAGATGATAACAACTTAGAACTTAAACTTAGTGGTTTATCGAGAGAGAAACTTTATTTATTTATTAATTGTATACATATGTATAAATATATAGACGTTGGGTGAAGATGCGCACGGCTGCATGCATAGTGGTTTATATGTATGTCTGTTGTGTATACTTACCTATTTCCCCGTAGATATCTCGTTAAAAACTGTTGAGAGCCTAAGCTACGTCTGAGGAGAGGCGGAGTAATGTACTAGTCTGTAAACCCGTCTCTCCTCTTTAAAAAGACTCTTTCGGGCGTGAGGTGAGTTTTTAGCTGGTAGGCGGTCGAGATGATCATCGGGGTCCGGCGGTCCTGGTGGTTTTGCAAGTTCCTCTCCTTCGGGTATTCGGCAGTCCCTCGACCCGCATGGGATGTCGGATCCCGGTTAGGATGGGGATGCACTTCCTCCGAATTCCGTCGGGGTCCCTCTGATGCGAGTCTTGGTCGAATCCAGCACTACCCTGGGGTACGGGCCCCAGGGTGTCTATAAGAAACTACAATATATCTTCTTTTTTTCTTTATTTTTTTCTATCGAACATTTTTCGGTAGAAAGGCTGCTGCTGTATATCGCATTTTATTATAAAAATCTGCAGGATTGGCGAGCACAGTGCAAGACTTGCGAGTCAATTTTGGTCTACATTAGTTTTTCATATTTTGTAACACAATTTTTTTACACAATTAAAAAATATTCAAGACAAATGCTTGTTATGTCAGTTGATTATTTAATTAATAATTAAATATGAAGATTTTTATGAAGATTTTTCTTTATAATATAAGTTATAATCCTTTTAATTTTTAAAATTATATATCTTTGCAAATAAGCTCCAAATTTATATTTTATTGAAATTTCCTCTAAATTATTTGAAAAATGTAATTTTGTTATCTATTTTTTTTTCTGAAGCTCATTATTTGCTAAAAACGCATCATAAATTGTTATTTTATTTTCAATTTTAGGTAGAATCAGCCAAAGAATCTGTAGCAAAAAGAATATCCATTGGTTTCTAGATTTTTTATTATAATAATAATAATAATAATAATTTCGTACAGGTTTTTTAAGCGCTACTGAGAGATCGAGAGAAGAAAGATCGTGCGAAATTCGGTCAAATAGAATGCCGAAAAAATCTCTTGCTTACGCGCGCGCGACTGAAAATGGAAATGCGCGTTTAGCTACATCTAATGAATATGCAACAAATGCATGACACGAATGCAAGATGGTTTGGAATTCCCGCATTTCCCGTGCGCATGATTGCGCGCACAAAAAAGTTTCCGATCAAAAATTCACTCGAGTTGAAATGTATCGAAGGAAAATTAGATCCATGAAATTACTCAAATGACTAAAAGGTCTGAAAAAACTAACGTAATAAATGTTTAAAATATCCCTTTATTTAAAAAAAGTAGCTGAATCCAAATGAATATTTTATAGTATAGTATAATTAAAACGCTAAATATAAAACAAAAACAACATTTAACATGTTTTATATATATTTTTATGAGAAATAATATTTAATAATTATAATTTTTGATAGAAGATTAAAAAAGAAATGAAAAGAAATTGGATAATCTTGAATGAATAACTGAGATAAGTGAGTTATCAGAATAAATTCTTACAGATTCCTTTCTATTTATAAAAGAAGCCAGCTACTAAATGTTGATTTAAAAAAATAATAGCTGAGTCTAACTAATAATTAGATTAATAATTGTCAAACTAATAGTTAAAACTAATAATTAGTGATTGTTAGATCAGTGATTACTAAGCACGAATGTCTTGAACTAATATCTATTTATAGGATGTTAGAAGACTATTAGCATCTACTAATCTAGAACTAAGTACGGACATAAAAATGTGAATGTACAATTTGTGATTTGAGGACTTGTTACAAAAATTTCATGCTTGGCATATAATCGTATCACTACGATTTGTTTCGTTACAGAAGAAGTTGAAAAAAATTATCTGATTGTCGCGGGAAAGCAAATTAAATCGAACAACTTATTTTACAGAAAATTGATACTCAAATTTAATTGTTGAATTGGCTGTTATGCTCAATTATACGTTTAGTACGATGTAACGATGTTGATTAACTAGATATTGTCAGATCGCAAATGCACGCGAGACTTGCTCCTGCAAGGATTTGCTTCCTTTTATATGCTTGAATACACATCTCGATTTACATAAAAGAGAGTGTATCTAAAACTCACGCGATTTCGAAAAGTATAATAAAATGTAATCCATACCGTCGGAATAAAGTGGTATAATAAATCGGTAAAATAAAAATCCTGCAATCAGAGAAACAGCATTTTTTAGAACATCGAGCGATAAAATAGGATGTGTCGTCTCGACTCGAAATGAGCAATTAATTCCAAGCACTGCTTTGGAGAATAAAAACACATTTACATTTAATAAAAAAAAATAGTATTCTTCTTCGTGTGTTTGTGAATAAATTTGCAATATTGCTTACGTTATAAATCAGCGCTCGAAAGTTGCACATTTTAAGCCGATTCCCGAGACGACACATCCTTTTTTTTCGCTCGATGTTGTAAAAAATTTCTCCGATTGCAGGATTTATTATACCGATTTATTATACCGTTTGTTCCAACGATATGGATCACATTTTATTTATAATTATAGTTTTCGAAATCGCGTGAGATTTAGACGCACCCTCTTTTATGTAAATCGAGATGTGCATTCAAGAATATAAAAGGAAGCCCATCCTTGCAGGCAGCAAGTCCCGCGTGCACTCGTGATCTGACAATATTTAGTTAAGACAACTGTCGCGTGATTGTTTGTGAAACGTTTCGTCGTGATCATGGAAACTTGGATATTACTGTCTATCTTAGCTGGCACCATCGCTGTATACTACTGTTTCTTGAAAGATTTAAACTTTTTTAAGAAACATGGAATTCTTCATATATCACCGTGGCCTGTTTTGGGTAATATGGGACCAGTTTTTCTACGCCAATTGTCAATGGTCGAACTGGTAAGAAAAATTTATAACCTAAATCAAGACGCCAAATATGTTGGTTTCTTCGATAGCATGAATCCAGTAGTGGTGATTCGCGATCTCGATATCATCAAGTCCATCAGCGTGACAAATTTCGAGAAGTTTTCCGATCATCGCAACTTTATAACTGAAGACAGTGAACCGTTAATTGCCAAAAGTCTTTTTTTACTTCGCGGTGAAAAATGGCATAACATGAGAACATTATTAAGTCCAGCTTTTACACCTAATAAAATGAAGGTTATGTTCAAGTTGATGTCAGATAGTGGCGCAAATTTTGCTGACTTTCTTGTTAATTTGCCTTCGGATAAAAGTGTTGTTGATATGAAAAACTGTTTCATGAGATATGCGAATGACGTGATCGCGACTTGCGCATTCGGAATTAGTGTTGATTCGATGAGAAATCCGGACAACGAATTTTACGTTTTCGGCAAAAAGGCAATGTCTTTCGAAACTTCTCGCGCGTTAAAACTCTATATTATAAGAAGTATGCCTTTAGTAAGTAAATTATTAAAAATTAAATTGATCAATGACCGTATAGGCCGATTTTTCAAGAATATTATAAAAAACACAATACAGACCAGAGATGAACAGAATATCGTACGACCGGACATGTTGCAATTGATGATGGAGAGCAGAGGAAAAAGACCCGGAAAGGAACTAACAATTGAGGACATGATCTCGCAGGCGTTTAGCTTCTTTTTTGGTGGTTTCGACACTGTTTCTACTTCGATGTGCTTTGTTGCCCACGAAATAGCTATTAACAAAAAAATTCAAGCAAAACTGCAAGAAGAAGTTGATGAGGTTCTTCAGACGACAAACGGAAATTTGTCTTTTGAAGAACTAAACAATATGCAGTATTTAGATGCCATTGTAAAGGAGACACTGCGATTATGGCCGGTGACTGCATTATTTGAGAGAATATGCACACAACAATTTAAATTACCTCCAGCGCTTCCTGGAGACAAACCTTTCGTTATTAAAAAAGGAATGAGTGTTTGGTTTCCTGTTTGCGGTCTTCATCGAGATCCAAAGTACTTCGAGAGACCAAACGAGTTTGATCCCGATCGCTTTCTGGATCAGAATAAGAAAAATATGAATATGGCTGCTTATATTCCGTTTGGAATCGGTCCAAGAAAGTGTATAGGCTACAGATTTGCATTGTTAGAAATTAAAGTCATGGTAT